GAGTGGCTTAACAAGAGGAATACAACAACTGTAGCTAAGTTCCTTGACACGTCTGTGTGTGGTGGCTTTTGATGCCTTGACCCCAGCCTCAGTCCATTCCTTGTGAAGTTCACTCAAATTCTTGAATCGATTTTGCTTGACAATCCTCATAAGGCTGCGGTTCTCTCGGTTGGTTGTGCATTTTTTTCTTCCACACTTTTTCCTTCCACTCAACTTTCTTTTAACATGCTTGGATACAGCACTCTGTGAACAGCCAGCTTCTTTGGCAATGAATGTTTGTGGCTTACCCTCCTTGTGAAGGGTGTCAATGATTGTCTTCTGGACAACTGTCAGATCAGCAGTCTTCCCCATGATTGTGTAGCCTAGTGAACCAAACTGAGAGACCATTTTGAAGGCTCAGGAAACCTTTGCAGGTGTTTTGAGTTGATTAGCTGATTGGCATGTCACCATATTCTAATTTGCTGAGAGAGTGAATTGGTGGGTTTTTGTTAAATGTGAGACAAATTCATCACAATTAAAAGAACCAAAGACTTAAACTACTTCAGTCTGTGTGCATTGAATTTATTTAATACACGAGTTTCACAATTTGAGTTGGAATTACTGAAATAAATGAACTTTTCCACGACATTCTAATTTATTGAGATGCACCTGTATGACCTCGCGTCTCGCACAAGAGATGAATAGAAAGCCATGTAAAGTTAAAAGAGGTTCAACTTTTAGAAAACATGTCTGGAGAATTTGTGGGGATTTTATTCCATTCCACTGCGTCTCATATGTTTTTACATGCAATCGTGTGATGATCGGCGATTTGTAGCTATGCATAAATACATGATACTGTTTTGTTCATAACTGTTTACGCAATGTACAAAATTATATTTGATTTATATGTGCTACTTTAGACATTATGCATATTTTTATAGACAGTTATGGTTTCATTGCATTGAGTAAACAATTTAACGCGGTGCATCATTTTGCTCATTGCGCCCTCCTGTGGCCTCAGGAGACAAGCCAAAAATTTCCTTAACACTTAGAAATGATATATTTGTTTACATTTTATTTTGTGTTTGACTGTTAAATAGGGCTGAACGATTAATTGCATTTGCGATAATATCACAATATGAAAAAAACACTATTTTTCAACCGTAGAGGCTGCCATTACACTCGGTCACGTGACACGCGAGAGTAAAGCGGTGTGTTCAACTTGAAGATCGATCGGTGTATGACATCAAAGTACAGCGAGAAAGCAAGGAGACGTCCATGCTCTTATAGCTCTCGTGGTACTTTGATGACACACCGATCGATCTAAGCAGCGCTGCTTCAAGTCGAGCACATCTAAGCAGTCTTCAGAGGAAGCACCAAGTTGGCCCGCTACAGTGTTGCCAAGTCCACAGTTTGGGGAACCCCTCCAAAAAAACATGTATTTTACCCCCTGGAACGCGATTTTTAGCGGTGGACCCCCTCGAAACACGATTGGGCTAGTTTTGAGTACCAATTGGGCGGGTTTTGTTGTGAAAACTTAGCAACCCTGGCACGCTACACGCAGAAATGTTTGAAAGCGTACTGTATATAATGAACGTACTTCAAAACGGCACAAGAAATTACTCAAGCAGTAACAGTGTTACGTGCATTTCATTACTGAAGACTTCGACCTTAAGATAATATATATAATATGGGAATATATATATATTCTTTATTTATTTAAAGTCTAAAGTTAACAGACAGCGTTTAAAAAGTGCAGTCCACATGTTTACATATGTTTATTACAGTGACTTTTAATTACCTACAGTAGTGTGGTAAAGCAACAGATTTGTTTTTATATTTCTGCAATCTACTTTAGTTTGTGTGATTTGTTACTGACTTTCATATTAATGTTTACACCAGGCTTATTTGTCAGTGCTTTATGTTGTCATAATTATGAAATGCTTACAAGGTTGGAAGTTCAACAAATCAGTCAATATACTGTGATTGTAGTTGTTAAATACAAATGTCATTCATATAAATTCATGCCTAATTTCAAGGTAACATATAGGCCTGGCCTACAGAAAAGAACATTTATGTTTAATCTATCTATTATTGTGTTGGTCATACTATACAATAATTTATAGCTTGTCTTTGTTGAATAATACAGAACATAACGAGCTTTAAAAAATAATTGCATATTAAATTGCAATAGCAATTTTGGTAAAAATTAAATCACAATTAAAATTATTTGTTTGTCGTAAATTACAGTGGTTAAATTTAAACCTTTTTTCTACTGCCCTTTGTTTACAAAAGGTTATAAAATTGTCAATAATTATCAATACCGAATGATATGAAACCATATATTGTGAGTAATTTTTTAGCTATATCGCCCAGCTCTCCATGTAGTAGATAACCGCAGAGGAGTGCAAGAACCCGGAAGGTTACGCTCTTCTCGTTTACACTTCGTGCGTGTGTATTCAATTCATTTTTTTCTTTTATAAGCCCACCCAGAGTGTTTTTTTTTGTGTGTATGTGTGGTTTAAGTCGTTCCTACTTGTTTTTTTTTTTTAGTTTAGAAGTTATTGATAAATCATGATTTGTTCATGACAACATTCATACACATGTCATGCTAAAAGTTATGTGTACACACAATTATTAAATGAAAAGTTGGTCTTCTCTACAGGTGATCTGCGTGCATGATGTATCATCCATCTACAGAGTGCCGCTGCTCTTAGAAAACCAGGGTGTTGTGGGATACTTCTGTCGCAGGCTGAACCTGCCCATCGAAACCAGACCCAGGAAAATGCTCGCTAAGTGGAAAGAGATGTCAGACAGGCTAGTACACACTTTAAAACACAGAAACCATTTCAGGATCAGTGCGTACATTGACGCTGAGCTACCATAGATCATGTAGAGCAAGATGATCCAGGTCTTTTGGGATTTGTTTCATGTTGTGTTTGTACGGTAGGTCAGACAGGCTGCTGGAGCATTGCTCCATTGCTCTGGTGGGGAAATACACCAAGTTTTCAGACTCGTATGCCTCCGTGATCAAAGCCCTGGAACACTCCGCTCTCGCCATCAGCCACAAACTAGAGGTTAAGGTGAGTGAAACCTTCAACACGGCCAAATGAGATTGATCTAGCAGATTTATACCATGGTCTGTCTGAATACTCGATTCTGATTGGCTGGCAGGGGTGCATTAAAAACATGCAATGCACAGGTAGTTCAAGGTCAGTTTAGTCACTGTTCTATAAATATTTCACTGCAAACATCATTATCAGCTTTAACTCATCACTGCTGGCAAATGACCATGGTATAAACTGTGGATTATCCCTTACGTGACAGCTCCGTTAACAGTCTAATTTTTAGGGCTGTGATGATAAATCGATGCAGAATAGATTTGTGGATGGATTCTGAGATCTTCAGAATGCATCGCGATTCTCTCTGGAATCGATTCTGTGCTTATATTGTAACAGCAGATGGCGGTCTACTCTAGTTTTTATCCGCACACTCAAATGCTCGTGAAGAAGAGCGCTGAAGAACTGTAATTTCACCTCTGCTCAGAATGCTTTTATGATGCCAGATTAATGTAAACAGCCCACTGTGAACAAGCTTGTAATTCGCTTCAACCTTTTCGAATTTTATGAATGATTTAGGTTCAAGTGTGTGTAAGGATTTGGAAACTGAGCATCTAAAGCATGCAGCACCATCTGCTGTTCAAAACTAAGCTCAGAATCGACTCGAGAAAGAATCACAATGCATTCGGAAAATCTCAGAATCGATGCGGGATCATTTCTCGATTCGTGATGCACCGATTTATTTTCCCAGCCCTACTAATTCTACCTTTAAAGAATAGTTTATCTTTAAAGGGTTACTCCACCCCAAAATGAAAATGTTGTCATTAATCACTTACCCCCATGTCGTTCCAAACACATAAAAGCTTCGTTCGTCTTCGGAACACAATTTTTGATGAAAACCGGGAGGCTTGTGACTGTCCCATTGACTGCCAAGTAACATTGCTGTTCTGTTGTAAGTAATCTTAAAGATTCCTAAATGCATCTAGTTTCGGAAGGCCAAATAAAGTGCTTTTGCTTTCGCCTAGAAACACACAGCGTCTCACTGACATGGCTGCTTCAACACTAACTGCGGTTCCTGAAACCACGCCTTCTTTCTTTGCGTGCACATTTGGGCGCATTATGCTAATATTGCCACATAGTGAGGTAGATATGTGGGGGCGTGTTAGAACGAGCCGTTTTAGGGGGGCGTGGCAGAGTCTTAACTTTGATAAAGAATATCTCTTTGGTTTTGAGACTTTAGTCTTTGCAACTTCAGGGATCTTATCTATGCACAATCAGCTTGTAACACTCCAAAGAGAAAGGAAAACTTGAAATCGCATCATATGACCCCTTTAAATGTTCATTATATGTTTATATCAACCATTTTTCTTTCTCTAGTATGTTGACTCTGCAGATTTGGAGGCCAGTACACTGCAGGAAGAGCCAGTGAGGTACCATGAGGCCTGGCAGAAACTCTGCAGCGCCAAGTGAGTAGTGACCTGCGCTCCGTTTAATTACGCCTACAATAGACATGGCTGATTTCATGCATTTTAAATCTATTCTGCTCAGTAAGGCCATGCAAACGCCTTAATTGGTGTTCTTTTATTGAGGAGAATTCAGACGCAGTCAGTGCTGATGTAGTTTTGCTAATATTACTGCTGCGGTCTCTCGTGTCGCCAGTGGTATTTTAGTACCTGGAGGTTTTGGAGTACGAGGGACGGAGGGCAAGATTCAAGCCATCAGCTGGGCCAGGAAACAGAAGAAGCCCTTCCTGGGTAGGACTGTTCTGCTTAAAATTAATTAAAACAGAAATATCCTGCTCCGTCTGTGAATTGAACACATCTGTGCCATTTGACTTTCAGGTGTGTGTTTGGGGATGCAGCTCGCTGTGTGCGAATTTGCTAGAAACATGTTGGATTGGAAAGGTAAAATCTTCCTTTACAATAAAGAAGTAAATGCCGTACTGAATGTTTGGCAAGCAGTGTTGAACAAAGTGTGACTCTCGGTTTTCCTAGATGCTAACTCCACCGAATTTGACCCAGAAACAAAACATCCTGTGGTGAGTATCAGATTTGGTTTAAATGTGGATTTCTGGTGTGTTTTGGAGCAGATGTTTGATCGGTCGTCTCACAGGTGATTGACATGCCAGAGCACAATCCAGGGCAGATGGGAGGAACTATGCGGCTGGGGAAAAGGAGAACCATTTTCAAAACCAAAAACAGCATACTTAGTAAGTGCATTTCACTGAAATACTATACCAATAATACAGTAGACAACCATACGCAACAGAGAACTGGAATTATGTAAATATATGAAATGTTTGATTTCTCTCACAGGAAAACTTTATGGAGATGTAGATTATGTCGAGGAAAGACACCGGCATCGCTTTGAGGTACATCGTAATTTATACAGGCATACAATGTAATGATCAAAGAGAACTGTGAGATATATTGAATGTTCATGCTAAATTTGTCTGATTTTGCTGGTGGTATAAACTAATATCTTGAAATTAATATTTCTGTATTTTAGATGAATTTTTATTTGACCATTTTCCCAAAGAGCATGTCATTGTCACATTAATTTCACAGTCCTTATCTTTCGAGAGCGTTATATGACTGATGTTGTAATGTTGGTTAAGTCATTTGGTAAGGCAATTCATTTCTTAGAATCAGTTAAAAATGTAGGTTTCAGTCAATCATCTGATGGGTTTATATCATCTCCCAGAAGTGTTCTCCGCTCCTGTGAGGCTTTTGGCTTGCTATAGTTGAACAGATATATAGTTTCTTTATGAATAGCAGTGCTTACATGGACTCAAATAATGTGTTTATAACTGGATTGATGGCTCAGTCGGACTGAAAAGCCTTTATGTAAACCCCTCAATTGATCTGATTTAACTCGATCCGAATAAACTTCAATGTTAACCTGAAATGATCTGATCAACAGGAAAAAAATTAAAGGGCTCATCGGATGAAAATCTGACTTTTTCCATGTTTAAGTGCTATAATTGAGTGTCCGGTGCATCTACCAACTCAGAAAACATGAAAAAGAAGAACCCAGTAGGTTTGGTTTTGTAAGCCTTTCTCTGCAAGCATGTGAGAAAATGAGCCGATCAGATTTCTCTCCCCTTCTGACGTAGGAAGGGGTTCTTATTATAATATTACCGCTCATTAAGCTGCTCGTTTCCACCCACGGTGCTCAGCCGCCATTGTTGATTTCATAAGCGACTGTGGTGTACTTGTTCTGATGCCATGGCGAAAGTTCTCAGAAAACATGCTAAAGGTTCTGTTGCTGGCTGCACAGACGAACACAAATCATTATTTAGAGTCCCAGCCTCAGAGGGGACAAGAGTGGAGTGGATTTATTGTTTTTAGTGGAAATCCCGGAAGGGGGGGTGGGGTGCGCTGTAACTCATTATCATTTAAAGAGACATACACCAAAACGGGTTGGTGTGAGCAGAGCTGTTTTTGACAAGGCAAAAGGTGTTGTTTACACAGCCATTGAGTGTTTTTACAGACATTTCATGAAGACCCTAATAAATCATGCCAACTTGTGGAAAATGTTCATCCGATGAGCCCTTTAAACATGTAAATGCTAGAATCAGACTGTTTTATCAATTGTATTCCTAAATATCATGCACACAGGCGCAGTGCCATGTTAAAGGTGACATATCATGAAAATCTGACTTGTCCAGGTTTTAAGTGCTATAATCAGGTCCCCGGTGCATCTACCAACCAAGGAAACGTGAAAAAGATTAACCCAGTAACTTTGTTTTGGGAAGCCTTTTTCTGCAAGCGTCTGAGAAAACGAGCGCGTCTGATTTCGCTCCCTTGGTGACGTGGCAAAGGGATCTCATTATAATATTACCACCCCTTAATCTGTAAGTTTGCACCCACTGCGCCGTTATTGTGTTTTCGCAAGCGACAACGGTGTAGCAACTCTAATGCCATGGTGAAAGTTTGAGTAAAATATGCTAACTGTTCTGTCTTTGGCTGCACAGACGAGCACAGAATAATATTTAGAGTCTCCTCTAGAGAGCAGTGGATTTATTGATTTATTTACTGTATATTGCTGCTGCCACACAGATCTAAAATAAACATGCAATTTATTTCCCAGCTGTTTACCTTCATAGACATAACCGACTGTTTTTGTAACTCGTGTGTGTTTTTAACGTGAACTTGTGTGTGAATGAGAGCTTAGTTTAGTCCTCACATGCTGTGACAGCCGCTTTCTGTGCGTGTGCTTCGGATGTGTGCGCTCAGAAAACCCTATATCAGACGTTTCCACCCCCGGCGCTCAGCCACCATTGTTGTTTTCGCAAGCGACAGCGGTGCACTTGTTCTGACGCCATGGCATAAGTTTGCGGAAAACATGCTAAATGTTCTGACGTTGGCTGCACAGACTAACACAAATCATTATTTAGTGTTCCAGTCCCAGAGGAGACAAGAGGAGTGGATTTATTTTATTTTTAGTGGAAATCCCAGAAGGGGGGTGGGGTGCGCAGTAACTCATTATCATTTAAAGAGACATACACCAAAACGGGTTGGTGTGAGCAGAGCTGTTTTTGACAAGGCAAAAGGTGTTGTTTACACAGCCATTGAGTGTTTTTACAGACATTTCATGAAGACCCTAATAAATCATGCCAACTTGTGGAAAATGTTCATCCGATGAGCCCTTTAAACATGTAAATGCTAGAATCAGACTGTTTTATCAATTGTATTCCTAAATATCATGCACACAGGCGCAGTGCCATGTTAAAGGTGACATATCATGAAAATCTGACTTGTCCAGGTTTTAAGTGCTGTCTTTGGCTGCACAGACGAGCACAGAATAATATTTAGAGTCTCCTCTAGAGAGCAGTGGATTTATTGATTTATTTACTGTATATTGCTGCTGCCACACATGTAAAAAGGGGCATAATATTTCTCCTTTAACATTTTACGTAATGTGAATTTTATTAATTTTTTTTACACTTTAGGAACTGGTTAGTGGAGGAGACGGAATATGTATTAACTATTATCTAATAAAGCTCTTTTTATATATATCTTGGCAACAACAGCAATTATACTCAGTTAAGTTTTGTTCTGAAGACATGTATTGCACATGGAAGCGAGCAAGTTGAAGTTAGTGATGAAAATGAGTCCATGTAAACAAATCTGGTACCGAGTATTTTTATTATTCTTAGGTGTGCGAGCATGGATGAAACCAATATTGTTTGTTCTGTGTGAGCAGGTGAACCCAGAGCTGAAGCAGCATTTTGAGGAGAAGGGCTTCCGTTTTGTGGGTCAGGACGTGGAGGGTGAGAGAATGGAGGTCATCGAGCTGGACGGTACGTCACCTTCATTTATATAGCGCTTTAGACAGTACAGCTCGTGTCAAAGCAGCTTTAGTGTTTAACAGAATGTTTCAATGATGCAGCTCTAGAAAGAGGACAGTAGTGAAGGCATTTAGCCAGTTCAGTTCATTGTTGATGATTGAAATAAAGAAAAATATGCTTTGCAGTAATTTGACGTTTTTTTGTTTTGTTTTGGCAGATCACCCGTATTTTGTTGGTGTCCAGTATCACCCAGAATTCACATCCAGACCCATAAAACCGTCTCCGCCGTACTTTGGCCTGTTGTTAGCCGCTGCAGGGAGGCTTCCAGGTTATCTTCAGAAAGGCTGTCGGCTTTCACCACGGTATGCACTGATGTTCCCTGAGCAGCAAAACGTCTCTCAGCCAATGATATCAAGAGATTCGTCACAATAAAAAACTGTTTGCTGTTTTGACTCCAGACAAAATCTCTTCAACCTGCAGATCGTTTTGCATTATACCAGGCATCAGAACCTTTAAATAGTTTTGCATGATAGCAAATGAAAGTGTTTTTCTGTTGACAGAGAAACATACAGTGACCAGAGCGGCAGCAGTTCTCCAGACTCTGAGATCGCAGACTTCAAACTACCCTCACTCACTCAGGATTGAATCAGTTGATGGTATAGTGCAGCGTGACATTGTATTTGTATACAGCATGGTTTCCAGACAAGCTTTTGTTTTATATTTATTCTCATTTCTTTTCAGGGCCTGCTTTCTAAAGGATGCAGTACTGAAATGCAGTTTTGAATGGTCCAGCTTCAGTGAAAACAGGATTTGACAAAGCTTCATTAACTCATTCTCCATTGTATATTGCATGTGATGTTGCCAATTAAACCAGTGGAAATGAGGTGTAAACTTCCTCTGGCAAACTGCTAGACGTCTGCTTAATGTGGTGTTTGATAAGATTTGTTTCCCCATGCATAGCTTTTAAGCTGAGTTGTCGTTTTTCAAAATGTAAATTAAAGCGTACAAAAGAGAATACAAATTTTTCAGAGCTATTCAGAAATAATGGCACCTTTACAGAACAAAGGCCGTATTAAAACTGTATAAAAAAAGTTCCAGTAGCAAGCAACTAATACTTTATTTTTAGAGTTAATCCAACTAGGCCTGTCGCAATATATTATCGACCATTATATTGAAATTGTCACAATGTTTTGTACATTCCACTTGTGCCTGTCTTTTGCAGCTTCTTGTACATAACTGTAGTCATGAGGTGCTAGTTCACATTTAAAACCTGCTTTGACATTTTCTTCTGCAGCTATGGCCTTGTTTAGGGAATCGGTGCCTTTGTGCATACAGACATCTGACTGCTGAGTAGTGATTGTGTTTTTCAGGAATATTGTACACCCTTAAGTTAAAGAAAAGGTCAGGGAAAAAAATCTGAATATGTAAAAAAATGTCCGTACAAGTTCTGTGCATTTTTTTTCTACTTGTTACTTTGCTAGAAAGCATTTACTATTTATTCAAGTTTAAGGTAATATTTTGATAGTTTTCATGATCTAAATACTCTTAATTTTTAAAAAAAAAAAGTTTGTTGTCATTTGAAAGGGTGTAGGCTCTCTTGCATTATGCTGTTACATTATATATTCAGTGGCATAAAGTGGTCTTTAAAATGACTAGCATCACTTATCGCAATTATTTCTGGGGCAATATGTCGCACAACAGAGTAATAAAGTCAGAAATGTTAGACAAAGCCACACTTTATTGGGTTTGATTTGCACAATTGCAGCTTCCACTCGCTGGGCAGGAGCCACTGGAAACCTAAAATAAGAGAAACAGCATAAGCCACAACAGACAGCACAGATGCCTCAAACTGACAAGCACTGATCTCAGTCCCATATCCGCAAGTTTCATCCAGCAGTCACCATGAAGTCTGTCATCCTTGATCAGGAATCACCGTTTTATTGAGAGCATCAGCAGCATCATACCTGCACTTGCTCCACCGGTCCCACAGGCCATCAGCTCCTGTAAGAGAACGGCTATTAATAGAGGGCACAGAAATAAAGTCATGCAAGAGCAGTGCTGAGTGTTGGACAGTCGAGTGACTGATGCAGACACCGGACGGTCAAAGTCTCCCCGCTGATTTAGCACGCTGCTGGAGAACCTGGTATACGCTGACAGCACAGATTCTCAGGAAACATGCAAAAGGACACTAAAGATGCTGAGCTCACCAGTGCACTGACCCACAGCGATGGCGTCTCCTCACTGCCAGCACTGCGCCATCTGACGGAGATAAACATACAACATTAAAGTCAAGTTACAAAGAGAACACCATAAACACAGAAGTTACGTTTGGCTCAGGAGCGTTTGTTTGAGTGTCATAACAGAGCAGTTCTCTCAGAGAGGGCAAGTTTGTCATCACAGCCAGCACTGAAACACAAAACCCAAACCAGAAACCAACCTGGTAATGAAGGCTCCCTCAGACCATCTCAAGGAGTGTTTCGTTCATATTCATCTCCTCTTGCATCATCCGACCTGCATGGAGAAACGGTTAGGCAGGGATACTACTCATAGCAAGACATCCGTGGAAACAGGTTTCGGTTGTCCTTTTCCTTAATGTTGCTGGGACAGCTACAGGTGAGCTGTACAGCGACCGTCGGTAAAAGTGTTGCTATCGGCTCCTGTTTGACCGAACCAGTTATAGAGGAACGGGAACGACTTCGATCAGGGCCGTGAACCTTCAATCTTTACATTATAAGTTCACATGCACAAACAAATGAGCCAGCACTCAAACAAAGGGAAAGGGAAAGAAAAAAAAATTTTATTTACTTAGTCAACAGCCTCCACGTAACTGGGATATGTTGAATTTAACATTTCAGTCAACTTAAGTTTATTACATAAGGTTAATTCAATGCCATTTAGTAGAATCAGGTTAATACTATTAATTTAGGCCAAAACCATCAAAGTTCAATTATCCTAAAATAAATAAAGTAATCCAGCTTAATTGATTAGGTTTAAGAAAAATCTAATCTAATGAGCACAATCTTTTCGCTGTAAAGACTTACTGGGCATTAGCCATAAAACAGTGGTTACATTAATGGCATGCCCAAAGTAGTATCGTTTATTATTATTATTATTATTATTATTATTAAAACCACCAATTCTTTTATTATTAAAACCACCAATTCTTGCTTGCATGTCCTCAACCCAAGAACACGCTCCACAACACCAACATACCAGAAACTCTTTAAATACAAACATGACATTAAACCTCCCGAATTTATCATCTTGATTTAGAAACACACACACACACACACACACACGATGGGAAGCAGAAACCTGTTCCTAGTTACAATCCATTTAAGTGGAGTAAACGTAGTTTGCGGACCAGACAGAGCTGTCGGCGATTCTTCCTATTGTGAAGTCATGCAGTGTGAAACCCCCTGTCGCCGATCCATCGTGCAATGTGAACACAGCAGCGACTGACTGCTACCCCAGATAGTCGTACAGTGTGAAAACCACGGCGACCCGACGAGTTTGAAAATCGTGCAGTGTGAACTCGGCATAACCCGTTTCCAGGATATTATAAACAAACTAAACCCACCGAGTCTCCAATGCAAACTAAACGGTCTGAAATGGCGCCGCTTTGTAAACCACTCGCAAGCCTTGATGCATTCCTTCATAAAACCCAAGTAGCTGCTTCCAGAAGCTTTATAAAGGCCTAGAGAAGTCGTTTTCATGTTAAACTGGAAGACCGTTTCATTCGAGCCCAACCCCGACCACGCTTGTCACGCACTGCATCAGAGTCCCGACGACTACTAATCTTCACAGCATCCTGCGCTAAACGCCAGCAATTCACAGGCGAACCAGTGGTGTAGCATCCAAACAAACTCTCTATGAGAACTACTCGCTAAATTAAAACTCACAGTCGTCGATGTTTAAGGATTAAACGAAACTCACCTCCATTCTCTGAGCGAGCAGGTTGAAGGAGGAACATGAGACCGTGACGCGTTCTTTTATACAGCGAAACTCAACGCTGATTGGTGAACGGGCTCATCGCTGATTGGTCGACTGCGTTGGCTGGGTCGCAACGCTTGATGGGATATGTAGTTCTGATTGTGAGATTGACGTTATGGGATTTTTTCGGACATCTGGGATATATATTTGGTTATATCTGACAACTATAATTCATTTATTTAACTGATTTGTTTTCTCAATGTGAAATATTTAAATATTTATAAACATTTCTAATGAAAAATACATGTAAATGAGGTCATAAAGTAATTCTCATGCTGTGTTCTGCTTTTACACATTGGCTGGACATTATACACGTTAGCTCCAATAAATAAACATATCAACCCTCCACGATGTAAATGGATAATTCCATCTGTCAACAGATTCTATTTTGACTTGAATTCAGAACGGGAGAATTCCTGTGATCTGGATTAGTGGGATACTGGTCAGCTAATTACGATAACCCCATTAAGCGCTTTATCTCATTTTTACAATTGCATGGTATTTACAAGCATATTCTGGGTCCTGGGTTTGTTCAATTATGCTGAAGCCCCCGACAGCCTCAATAATGAAACCTATTTCAGCACCACGGACAGATCCAGTACAGACTCTGCTTGGACCGAGCCTAGATGCCAGTCTAATAATCTTCAGAAACCACAAAAACATATATAAAAACACAAATACACGATGTGGTCTGATAGTTTGGCTCATGCAACAGCTATAATGCGAGGCAACTATCCATATCACGCAGCGCGGCTCTAGTCTAGTAACCTTCTGTTATGCCAGTGGCTATTTAGCGCAAGCTTTAATGTGCGTCAATTTAAAAAAAGTTACGCGAAGGGAAAATGTCTGTCAAAAAAAAAAAACATAAATATATTATATATTCTTTTTTCGCCTTCACTGACATAGATCTTTCTACCTAAATCATTCCTGATCACTTCCAAAAGTTCAAGTTTCAGGATTGTAACTCTTTAAACTCGCGTGACAAATGAAAACATTTGTCATGAGAACATGAGTTCTAAATCAGCTCAAAATATCAGACACGTTTGATTTCCTCCGATGAATCATAGACTGAAGCTGATAGCAATGTATTGCTTTTGGAGAAGTTGACGCTAGTTGCCGAAAGTCAGAGCCAGTCTGCAGATTTGAGTTGACAGATTTCATAGAAAATCGCTGATGGTCACAGACTGACCATCATACATTACGCAGAATCTGTCAAGCATCAACTTCTCCAGACAGTAAATCGGGGCAAAAATCATGTGGTGTATTACAGCTTTAAGTCAATGATTAGCATACACTGTAAAAAATGATTGTGATTTTAACAGTAAAAGACTGTAAAAATGCTACAGTAAAAAACTGTTAATTGGTTAACAGTAAGTTTCAATACTATACACGGTGAATAAATGTAATTACATTTAATGTAATTTTAATGTTAAAAATACAGTTTTTGGAAGTGAAAAAGAAAAAGCCATTGTATAATTTACAGTGAATAACCGTAAATTTTACATTCATACTCGTAGCCGGAGGGCGGTCTCGCGCAGAAAGGAAATTCCTAATATGGACAAAAGCGTCCAGCTATTGCTGTATGAAAACAGTTGTTTTCACAGAAAAACAGAAACGTTTGGAAACATGAAGACATTAAACATACGATTGCGACAATATATGGTTTATTTGTGTTTGTCAAGTCATCTCCAGGTAA